TCACCCGGTGGTGCCTCTGAAGATAGGCCTGGTGATTTGCTTCTGAAAAGATTACAACCCAGAAAACTTATGGGGCAATTCTATTCTGTAGCACATGGGCTCATCATCATAAGTTGGAATCAACTTCAACAGTCATTTTTCTTTCTTTCTTTCTTTTTCTACCACTCCCATTTTAATTTCTCCTGAGGAAGTCACTCCTTTGTGGTTCATATGACCTTTGAAATTCAGGTACAGCATTAGATCAGAGCTGGTGGCTGGGATGGCCTGGCAGGTGGGCTCTTTTTGGCCCTGGACAGACAATGAGGTTTCAGAGTCACAGCTATAGGACATCTCCTCTAGCACTGCGTATTCCCGTGAAACAAATGTTCCTAAAGACCCACCACAGATCTCAGAAATAATACCTTACTTTTGGAGTACTTACTTCTTGTGCTTGACCCTTTAGTTTAGGATTATTGCTCCCATTTTATAGATGACAACACTAAGGTCTGAAGTTACATGGTTAATAAGCTGTGGAATTGGGAACTGGTCCAGGTTTGTTTTGTGCCACCAAACTCATAAACATCCTGGTGTTTGAGGAGGCCAAGGGTGCCTAGGTGGGGGAGGGGATGAGTTAAACTGCCCCGCAGGTCCTTGCTCTTCCCTAGTGTTTATCTAGAAGGTGCTAAAATTTCTTTTTCTTTTCTTTTTTTTTTTATGGAGGGTTTAAGTTCATCCAATTCTAAAACCTATTTGTATCTTTTCCTCCAAGACTCCTTCTGTTTCCTTACAGCCTAATGATACTATGTTCTACTTCATTTCCGCATATGTTTTTAAATTATTATTTATATTTCTTAGGGTTTTTTTTTTTTTTTTTTTCCTTACATACATAGCTCAGGAGCCCTACTGGTGCAGTGTTTAAGTGCTTGGTTGCTAACTGAAATGGCTGGTGGTTCAAACCCACCAGCTGCTCTGTGAGAGAAAGATGAGGCAGTCTGCTTCTGTTAAGATTTACAGCCTTGGAAACCCTATGGAGCAGTTTTACTCTGTCCTGTAGAGTGGATTTGAGTTGGAATCCACACTATGGCAATGGGTTTGGGTATATACAGCTCAGCATACACACTTTAGTGTATTTAGCCAGGAGGGACCTTCTTACACAGAAAACTTCTGGTGTCCAAAAGGAACCTGTGTAAACCACACATCAAGAGGCTAGAGCGTCTATATTTTGCTTGTGGGCACAGTGAAAAGTTTATTTTATGCATGTTAAATCCTGCATGCAAAACAACATATCTGGTCATATGGCTTTCATTAGCTCCCAATTTTGCACATTTTATCCAACTTGTCATGAGAATCTGGCTTATGCTTCAACTATGCTCCTTTAAGCAACCCTTTTTCACCATTTTTTGTCTAAGGATTCTTTCCTTATATATAATTTCCCAGGCCTGCCAGCAAACCCTCCCCTCCACCACCCCAATAAAACATAACTTACCACTTTTACCCCTACTTTAAGGAGTGTTTACCATTTTTTATTAATCTCATGTTATATTTATAACAATTTAGAAATCGTAGGACTTGAAGTTCTTAGTAAAGAAGAGTATCTCTGAGATTTATTTTTTCTTTGCTAGGTAGTAGGCTGTGATTCTAAAAACCTGCAAAAGGTACTTACAAAATTCAATTGCAAAGAATGACTATTTCCAGAGTTCTTGGTAATAAGTGATTTATGAAGCAGGCGTTCAGTTTCAAGATGTAAAATAATATCCTAAGTCAAGGGAGGAGAGCCCATCATCTTATGGGCGTGTCTATTTTCCTGATTCATTCTGAATGAGGGATCTTATTTAAAAAAAATAAAATTAGAATCTTGTAAGAAACAAGAAAATACTTTGTAAATACAGGCAACTTCATGAAGTAACAGATGTTTTATGTAAAGACATAAAACTGAACCTGAATATAACGAGACATGTGTGTATAAGAGCAGTAAAAGAGAAGTTGAAAGTTGGACACTCAGGGAACTATATCTGCCCCATTTCTCTAGTTTCTAAAAGGTAGTCTAGTCACAGCCAGAGGATTCACTGGCTCTGTGTATCATTCAGTGCTGTCACAAACAGCAAAGCAGGGCTTTCCATTAGATAATGAATTATGAAATATGTCTCACACTGGAAAAACCAGTCATCCGCTGATGTCATGCTGATTCTAACCAATCCCCAACAAAGCCCCAGCCCTCCTCTGTTTGAGTGGTACCAATGTGTGAGTGTACAAATAAGTAGTACAGTATAAAACTTCTCAGTGCCAATACCATGAAGAGGAACTCAGACAGCTCTTACCACATGATACAAGAGTCTGCTCAAAGAGAGGGGACCAGAAAGGTAATGCTTTTTAACTCTTGCTTATGAGCTATTTCCACATTCAGAATCAGAAGGGCTAGAAGGGTGGTTACAACTTATTGGCACTATGTTAGTTGTGATTTGTACCTTTTTATATTCATCAGGCAGGTTAATGCAGCTTTTAATAGTCCTAGAGCATGCAAATAGATTGTGTTTATGCAACCCACTCAGCACATATATACAAGTACGTATGCCAAAGAGAAAACTATTTTTAAGAGTTACATTCACAAACAGTAAATTCAGGGAACACACACATACTCACATACAGAGAGAATCCAAATATTGATAAGTTGCACTTATCTTAATGCTACTATTAGGACTTTTGAATTGTTCTGAGTCATTAAGTTTTTAGTTTCAGAGTCTCTTGTAAAATTTAATTGGACTGCAAAAGGCTGTGGGTCCTTATATGTGACTCCAAATAGGTAGATTATGTTAAAATAGTATATTAAAAAGATGTTTTATTAAACAATTATAATACAAATGCTCCCACAATTATTTTTCACTATCCCCCATCAAAACTTGAGACATGTTAGGCAATGTTGACAAAGTCTTAGCATTAGCAATAATAGCAGAGTCACTGATGTTCCTGGAGTTGAAACCCCAAAAGTGATAGTTTGCATGTAGCAGAAAAAGTCCTGCAAACAGTTGTTTTGGAAGAGGGGAACAGTGTACATAATTCAGGAAAGCATTGTTACCTGTGCAAATTCTGGACTGTAATTTTACTTAGTGTCACAGTTTTCTCACCTTCTTCCCCTTGAACTCAGATCTTACTCTTGTAATGATGATATTTATTACTTTTTCCCACCCAAACTGTATTGCTTGACTCTCTGAACACACTAGGTGTCAGATACAAGCTGACTGTATCTACAGAAACAGAGAGGGCTTATGTGTGGGAAAGAAACTGAGAGGGAAGGAAAGCTTTAACAGATGGACCTCTTAAAGATACTTCTGCAAGATAAAAGCAATAAGACAGAACATGAAAAATGGACGGGCGGGGGGAGTTTAAAAAAAAAACCTCAGAAAGGCATTGTTTAAAAATTCATATTTTTCTTTCTCTGTGGACACTAAAATCCATAATGATTTCATCTGTGCTGTTCCTTTGAGGCAGAAAGCAGCAGTGTAGGAGCCTGCCCATGAATGTACTGGTGGGGACAGGGGTAGGGGACACACTGAACGAACAACCACATGACAGAGAAAATGATTTGCCAATATATTTTAGAGAGGCTTTTCCCCTAGGGCCAGTTATTCAAGTCAAAAGAGTGCATTATTTGTATAAAATTATGTGGGAAAGGCTGAATGTATTTTGCATTTATCTGTGGAGTCAAGACAAGCAGTGGTAGGCTGTCATTTGGGAGTGTGAATGTGCGCAGGGCAGAATGGGGCAGCTGAAGAGGAGAGGGGAAAATAGCTTGATAGGACATGGCATGTCAAATGCTGGCTGCCCTTGGGATCTTTCAATACCCTGCCACATTTTGCAGTTGAGAAAAGTATAGTGTATTATATGACCCCCAAACAAAAGTTCTATTGCATTCCCCTCAGATTGCCTGCCAGTGTTGATAACACTGGACATTTAAATATGAATGAATGGGGGAAAAGGAACATCTCTTCTCAGATTCATTCAGGCCCAAACAACTGGTCTAAGTGGCTACTTTGCCCCTCAGCCCCTCTTCTCTGACTTCTACTACCTGTCAGCCACAACCTCCCAGCCCTCTCAGCCCCACCTTCTGGGCCAGGTGGGCGTCTACTCACCTCAGGCTGTGGTTAGGTGGGGTGAAGGAGCGCTGGGGGCGTACTTTTTCATACCTGATTATTGAGACAGTTTTTTATTTTTTCTCCTTCCTTCTGCTAAAAGAGGAAGAAGGTGAAGCAAGGAGACAGGCCAGAGAAAGAAAAAGAAAGAAGTGGAACAAAATTAGAAGAATGTATATAAAAGGGAAAGTAGAATCCCAGAGAATGGTGATATTTGAAGAGAGGTGTGTGTGAGGGAGCAGTGAGCAGAAGGAAGGCAGCCTGTCAGAAAATGGGCTGTCCCTCCCTCCCTAATCACAGCCTTAACTCGCAGACAAACTCCCTCCCTCTCCCATTCACTCACACACTTAGGGCCAATCCGTTCTCTCTCTCTCTCTCTCTCTCTGTCTCTCTCTGTCTCTTTCTCTGTCTCTCTCTCCCCCCCTCTCCCCCTTCTTTCCCTCTCTCCCTTCTCTCTCCCTGTCTCTCTCCCTCCCTTCCTCTCTCTGTCTCTGTCTGTCTTTCCCCCACCCTGTCTCTCCCTCTCTCCCTCCCTTTTTCTTCCTCCCTCCCTCCTTCTCTCTTACTCGGAGACAGTCAGGACTCTCCTCCCTGACAGCCACAAACCTACAGCACTCAGTGCATTCAGAAAGGGAACCTGCAAACAAAACTTCACAGAAAACTTTTTGTTCTTGTTCCAGAGAATCTGCTGAAGAGGAGAAGAAAAAAAAAAAGAAAAAGAAAAAGAAAAAAAAAAAAAAAACCAAA